CCAGAGTGTTGTTCAGCATGGGGGTGGGTAGAAAATGAAGGCTAATCATGTTTTGGGTGTACTATTCCTTTAAACAATAAACACATGAGCAGAACATTCATTTAGGGTGAGTCGTCCTTTAATTCCACTTCTCATTTAATTGGTTTCAGATTTAATTAAAACATTTTTATATTTCTTTAAAAACTTCCTGAAGGTTTCTGCAGGACCGATGCGCCCCCTGCTGGACGGGTCATTTAGAAGCCATCCAGCTGAGTCATGGTTCCTGTGGCTCCATCCTGACTCCGGCTCTGGGTCCTAACCTTCGTCTCTCTTCCCGTTTCCCAGGAATGTGAAGAGTAAGAAGGGGAAGAAGGAGCAGGAGGACTCGGAGGACTCCGACGTGGACGACCTGGACGATGAAGAGGTGTCTCTGGGCAGCATGGATGAGGAAGACTTTGGAGACGACCTGGAGGAGGAAGGCGGGACCTTCATGGATCCTGATGATGATGATGATGATGGTAGGGTATCCTATTGGTCCGACCTAACCACACGTTCCGGGTCATTTCCTCCCCGTCTGAGTCCAGGTTCTTCCTCTTTCAGTTCCGGAGCTGGAGTTCAGCGAGGATGAGGATGTTCCTGATGGTTGGTTCTGATCTTCCTCATCCCAGTTTTCCGGTTTGTCTGGGAATCCCAACATGAACTTTCTCTCCTCCCTGCAGAGTCGGACAAGGACAGCGAGGTCCCGGACATCGCTCCTCAGAGCAGAACCAGGAAGAGGAAATCCTCAGCGGATCTGGACTTCTCTGGATCTTTAGGTCCGTCATTATTCCGGGTCAGTGTGGAATTCTGCTTCGTTCAGAACCGTTCTCTAGCTTCCTGTTTTCTTCCTGTGTTCAGAGCGTAAAAAGGAGAAGAAGAAGAAGAAACCAAAGACGGATGGAGCCGTGTTCGCTGCTGCTGAGGAGGTGAGTTTTCCAACCGCAGTCTGCGCCGGCCCAGCAGGGGGCGCCGCAGAACCACCGGCTCTGGAGACTAACTGTCCCTGTTCTCCTTCAGTTCGGATCCCTGCTGGACGAAAACAGCGACTCCAAGTTCGACAACATCGGCCTGAACGCCATGGCCAACACGGACCGAGCCGGTAAGGTCCAAAGGTTCTGCTGAAGCAGAACCACTTCCACTGGGTCCAGTGGGACAGAACGTCTGCAGAGAAAGATTCCCAGTTCAGGGTTAAACAGTTCGGACCTCCAGAGGTGGGAAAGTCAGGACGGAGGAAAGGAAAGGCGACCCGCGTCCTGATTGTTAGAGCAGGGCTGGTGGAGTGGTTCTGACCCGGAAGAGTTCTGACCCGCCTGGTTCTAAAGGTTCTGTTCATCCTGCAGGCCTGAAGCAGCTGAAGTGGGAGGCTCAGCGGGACGACTGGGTCCACGGGCGGGACGCCAAGACGCTGCGCAGGAAGAAGAGCTCGTTCAACAAGAGGAGGCCTCTGGGCAGAACCCGCCCCGCAGGCGGGACCTTCAGGAAGAAGAAGAAGAAGTAGCGGCGGCGGCTCCGGCGTCGGACCCTCAGTCCCGTTTGTCGGCCCAGGCTTGGCGGTCGCGCTCTCTGATGCCGTAGATCCCCGCCCACTCGTTGGACTGGTAATAAACTGGGAGGACAGAAGAAAGGCGTTAAATCGACGCTCATGTACAAAGTTTGAACAGATTTCCTAAAAGTTTTTCAATAAAGTCTGAAATGTTTTCCTGATCCGGGATCCTGGTGGGAAAACAGGAAGTTAAAAAAAAAAAAAGAAATAAACAATTTCATATTTACTATTTTTTTTCTTTACAGATTTTATTTATTTTTTTAGTTTCCAAATCTGTTTTTTCAGATTGTTGATTAGAATTTAATTAGATTTTAAATTGAATTCCTCAGATCATTGTGTGAACCTCTGGGGGCGGGGCCTTCCTCTGCAGGGAGGAGCAAAGCTGCATTTCTATTGGTCGATATTTGTGTTAAGAGTCTTTGGCCGTTTCTCACTATGTGTTCTCGTAAAAACGTCATCACCCTCAGCCCTAGGACTGTTACAATTCACTAGAACGGACCAAGTCCCCGGATGTTGTTCTGGCCCCTCCCTCTTTACCCAGCATGCATCAGAGCAGACCTGTCCGTCGTCCAGACTGACAGCTGTCCCAGCATGCAGTGCGGCAGCAGTTCCCAGGTTAGCGCTCACAGAGCTCAGAGTATTAAGATAAAAGTTCTCATTTCTGTTGCTGCTGTTCAATAAAAGTACGTTTTAAGATCATTTGAGGCGAGAAAATTATACTTTAAGTTTCACTATATGGAACATTTACTGATTTAATAAAAAAAAAAAAAGTTCAGATGTTGAGAGGACCGCAGCAACCAGCGGAGCTCCGAGGCTAACGGCAGCTAGGGCTAACGTTAGCCCGTCTGCAGCGGCCAGGGCTTGATTTGTGTTTAACTGTTCATTATTATTCCTCCACTAAATGAAAAAAGTCATAATTTATTATTCTCTATATTCTATTAATAGCAGGAGGTGAAATTCAGCTCCAGGCGAGCTTTGACTGTGATGTCATCAGTGCGCTGCTGTTCCAGTTGACGCAGACTTGTAGTCAGGAACAGACTGGTGAAATCACGAGTTCGTACTCAGGTTCTAGTGAAATGAGAAACAGCCAAAGTTTTGGGCTTAAAGTGACGAGAATCTGATAAAAAAATAAAAAATCTGAAAGGCAGCAGTTTGAAAACAAAGTTATACTTTTTTTTTTTGTATATATATACAAAATATGAGAAAACTGCGAAGTTAATCTCAAAATGTATTTTTGATTAAATCTTTTTCAAAGCTTCATATCTGGATTAAATTTTTTTATTTCTATTCATTAAAACTTTTTTTGCACTAATTCTGGAACCAGATTCCCTCCATACGGCGGATTCTGTTCATAAACCGGATCATTAGATCAGCTGGTTGGTTCCGGCTGGTCCGGTCTAAAAAGAGGACTAGTGATGGTTACCGATAGCCTGGTTAACCAGACTAAATGTGTAATCTAGTCTGGCCTCAATGAATGAGACATCGGAAGATTGTTGATGAGAATAAACCGTTGTTTTTCTAACCAATGCTGTTCCTATTGGCCAATGAGAGCCACTGACTGATGTAGGAAGAACAACAGGAAGCTGGTGGTGGGGGGGGTTAGTGGCAGAAACATTACAGAAAGTTGGAGACAACATTTCGATTACAGCGAGGAAATCCAATGGAGTCTGACCAGCTTTTACAGCGGCGTTGAATAGATCGGAAAGAGATCCGCCAATTTATTGGAGGTGGATTGAGAACCAGGTGGAAGCAGGTTCCCCCGCAGAAGGAACCGCTGCTGAGAGGGGAGCTCAGGATCAGGAACTGAAGGAGCGCCGCCATGACACAGACAAGCCAAGGATATCTGTCGCTCCTCCGCGGAGGATAGCCCAGGTAAGATGCTGCCATCTTCCTTATTGTGTTTTGTCCAGCTTTGTCGTCCCGCCCTCAAACCCCGCCCACTTTGCATCCAGACATTCAAAACACATCTCTGCGTTGTGATTGGCACACAGCTCTAGGGCCTGGGGCATTGATGGAGGCTAGACCAATCACAGGCAAACATGATTTCAGCCGCTGGTGGGTGGGGCTAATTCACTAGGAGAGGTTAATGAGGCTAACCTGACTCCTCCAGATGGATTTGCTCCGCATATCCATCTGGAAACCTTCCGTTGAAGTAATTTTGGGAAGGGGCGAAAATACTGGTTAGCTGATTGGCCTATGT